GAAAAGCGTCTGGACTTCTTTAAGTTGCTTGAAGACGTTTCACCTCTCATCCGAGAAGCTTCTTCAGAACTGAACTGAAGAAGCTTCTCCTTGGTCCCTGTAATGCAACATGGATTACATTCCCCACCATCCTGCACTTCTGTTTTAGCAGTTCTCCGTTTGCCGTCTGTTCAGCATATACAGCTGTGTGGGACATACACACTGAAATGTCAGGCAAAACGGTTTATTGCGGGACGGGAGCAGCACTGACTGGGGCAAAACATTTACTTTATCAGGCCCTAGGTTGGGGTCAGGGGGTTCTCTGTCATATTTTTAATTCAATTCAATTCAATTTTATTTAGATAGTGCCAAATCACAACAAAAGTCGTCTCAGGGCGCTTTAAAATATCCCCTTTAAAATATTTTTACATCTTGGCATTTGTTTCGCTCCTTCACACATATATTACATTTGCATTTGAAGTACACTTCGAATTGGGACAGCTGTCGTCGTGTGGCGATGACGTAATCGCACTCAAAATGCATACTCCAAGCGTGCGGTCTCTAAATTGGGACACAGCCACAGACTAAATACACACAAGGGTGATTAGGGGAAGTGGAAACACCTGACACAAGTCTGACATAATGAGACAATGGAACCAAAGCTGACTACACTGACATAGGACACAGACCTTCAAAATAAAACAGGAAACATGAGACACAGACAAGACAATATAAACTTGACAACATAAGACATGCGGCATGAAACACAAAGCCTCAACAGACCCAGGAACATGACAGTAAGTTAGTTTCTCTTTTCTTTTTCTTAGAATTTTAAGAGGAGGGGTGCACATCAGCAGTTTTCTTGTGTTTTTGTTTGTTTGTTTTTTGTTGTGTGTTTTTTTTTTCTTTATTAATGATAGGTTTGTAGCTTAAACCTATTCGCTGGAACGTTCAAGACAATTTAATTACACAGCAAAAGCAAGACACGAGTAGGCAAGTTCTTTATGTTTCTCGTGCACGGGAGAGAACTGGACAAACACCGTTCCTTCGCTTGACCCCTGTTGCTCTCATCCGCTCCCCCGTTACACTGCTCTTTTATAGAGATTGACAGACCACGTGACTTTCACGCATTGCATGCCGGGTACTCGTGGCAAAACAATCAAAGCAATGCATCAAACGCAAGCATCTGCAGCACCGCAAAACGTTCATTCTCCGGTTTCAATACCTTCTTGCTTTTTCTTTGTTCCCCAAAAAGGTTATGTACAAAATGAAGGAGAACAATGCCGGTCCATACAAAGACAGACTTGATGTCAAAGAAGAGATAGGAGGAAAAAAATCAAAGGAGTGAAAGGGTTAAATGGCCTGTATTTATATAGTGCTTTACTAGTCCCTAAGGACCCCAAAGCACTTTACATATCCAGTCGTCCACTAATTCACACACTGGTGATGGCAAGCTACATTGTAGCCACAGCCACCCTGGGGCGCACTGACAGAGGTGAGGCTGCCGGACCCCTCTGACCGCCACCAGTAGGCAACGGGTGAAGTGTCTTGCCCAAGGACACAGCCACCGAGACTGTCCAAGCCGGGGTTTGAACCGGCAACCTTCTGATTACAAGGCGAACTCCCAACTCTTGAGTCACGATCGCCCCGCTTTCAGCCTTGCGATATATGACTACATGCTCAGCCAGCTGAGCGAAAACCTGTGCCCAACTGCATTAAATCACCAGATTTGTAGAAGGCATAGAGATGGGAAGCCTAACACATGAAACACAAAATGACCACCATGTATTCTATTTATTTCAACAAAGTAACTGTATTCTGATTACCAACCATTTAAATGGTAACTGTAACGGAATACAGTAACTCATATTTTGTATTTTACATGTATTCCATTACTTCCCAACACTGGTAGTAGGAACAGAGAATGCTCGGACTGACAAGAGCTGTTACTTTGCAGAGATGATCATGAAACAGTGGACTCCAGGGTGGAGTAGGTTGCACAGTCTCTAACTACCTGTCCATGCCAAACAGCCAAAGTGAAGATTGGCTCTCAACTTGTTTACAGCCAAAGTACAACAGAGTCGTGGGGTGCCAGGATGTCACTGCAGAAAACAACCAGTAAATATTGTTTCTATTGATTGTTTGTATGGATAGCACAACCCAGTGGAGAAAACTGTGTAGTTCTGGCTTAAAGGAAACAGCCTACTAAACATAATATTGTTCTTTCAATATTATGTAACCATATGACAGCCACATGTGCTTCTACTCCTGGTGTTAGTCCAAAATAGCGAGGGTTGCATCGGGAAGAGCATCCAACGTAGATGCTATGCAAAATAAAACATGTGGATATAAAGAATGATATTTCAATGCAGATCAGCTCAAGCCTAGATTAACTCCCCCTGTTGATATTGTTCAACATGGTGCGTGTGGAAAGGAAAAGGAAAGGGGAAACGTTGAGAGCCAGGGTCAAAGTATAAACGGAGGAGTGTGGAGGTAACAGTCGGGACTCTAAAGGGTCTAAAGGAAGCAGCTGAAAGAAGAAGAAGATGACTTAAAAGAACTATGTCAGAAATATTTCACATAAACAGTCTAGGGTTCGTACGGGTGCTTGAAATCCTTGAAAATGTCTGAATTTTAATATTGCCTTTTCAAGGTTTGAAAAGTGCTTGAATTTCAGATGTGGTGCTTAAAAGTGCTTGAAAGTGTAACTGTAGTTCATTCACCACAAATAACTTTCTGAATGAATAGTTTTCTTATCAGATAGAGAAATAAAATGAGTCGCAAAATGTAAAAGCAAAATTTCCCCGCCTGGGCTGCCTTGTCTGTTTCATCCCCTCCCTCGGACACTCGGGGATGAGTGCGCTATTATAACTGTAGGTTGCTGTTTTAATGAGTGTTTGATGGAAAACGACAATGGCGGAGTCACATGATAGGCGAGTGCTAGTAAATAATTTTCCAGTACGTGTACGTTACACATGCTATTTTTTAAAATTATGATTATTATTTTGCTATCAAACTCGCTGGAGAAATGATTGAAATGCACTGAGTGTGATGCAGTATGGCAACACTATTATGGGATATGCTGTGAACTTAGGTAACATTACTTAGCAGTAATGTGAGTTAATTTACTCAAGTGAAAGCTTTAAACATTAGCCTAATACATAACTAGCCAATTTAGGCTTTCTGGTTAACCCTCTCGGGTCGACGGACCCAGAGTATCTATTTCAACTTGGGTCGAACTTGCGGACTTCAAACTATATACCAGTTTTTAAATTGTGTTGATAGGTCATGTAAAACTGAAGTTTTTTGAGGGGGGTTTCTGAATAAAACAGTGGTGTTTACTCCGGGAAGAAACGGTATAAACGGCGTTTTCTATGGAGAGCACTAGCAAACACGCTTTGCTTGTGAGTAAAAAAAGAGAAAGAAAAAACACTTTTTCCCTATTGGTGGAAAAATGTACCATTTCGACCAATCAAAAAATGATATGGCAACATGTGGCATTTGGTTACTTGGGAAGAGGTGGAAGTTTTAGGAGTGACCGGCGACAGAGAGCGAGTGAGCGAAAGAGAGAGAGTGTGTTTTGATACGTGAGAGATTTGTGACGTTTACCATGTTTGGAGTCTCAAGTTAGTGTGTTGTCTTGTGTAGTTAGTGTGTAGTGTAGTCGTTGTTTTGTTCTACTAGTGAACGTCACAGTTGCTGCAAAAAAGCCACCAAAGGCAGGTTGCAGTGTAAACACTGAGTGACACACCTGCTGTCAGACCTGCAGGTTTATCCCTGTGCTGTTCTCATCTGTGTTATAGTGGACACAAACTATTTTTTGGAGTTGCATAAATAATTTGTGTGCCTTCTTATATGATGCAGAACACCTGATTGTTCTGTAAATAGTTTGAAATGGTTATATAAAAAACGCCTTGGCCGTATTTGTAAGTAAATAGTACCATATAACTTTGTTATTTGCAAAACTTTTTTTTAAAAATGTAACATTTCTATTTGCATTTCAAGTTATGAAAATGATTCGTTAAACATGCTTGTGGTTCTTACAGTCAAAAATATCACTTTCTACTTGTATTTTGTTGTCTGAATTTAAATAAATTGTGCTGATACAGTTTGTCAAAATGAGAAAATAACAGATTGGCAAGAGAAACAGTCTTTAAAGGTGAAATAGAGGCCAAATCAAAAGTAGTCAAAAACGGCCAATTATACCCTGGACCCCAGAGGGTTAAAGGCTAAAAGTAAAGTTGTCACCAAGTACTGTTTATATTTGTGTGTATTGCTGCAGCTTTTTTGAGTATTAACTTGGTGCCTTTGGGTGAAACAATGGTAATATGAGGGACCGATCCATATGGTCACAAAGAATAGCCACTTGTTTCTGTGCTACCAAAGTTCCCCGGCTTTCATTCAAAATGTGTTTCTGGTCAGCACCTGCACATTAAACTACTTAAACATTATAAATGTCTTCAAGCTCACACTGAGGCCTGTGGGGCACAAGTACAGTACACACATTTATATGTGTATTTGTACATGAATATTTCATACTTTAAGGCTTTCTGTTTATTTAAGGGAGATAAACAAAATACATTGGAATTGTACATAATAATAACACAGATGATAAATTCAATAGATTTTAAGTAGATGCTTGTGCATCCTTAAAGTCTTATATGTTGAATTGAACTATGTGATCTGTTCAAAGCCTCCCAGTCAGTGCTGTTCTCCATGTTCTCCTGTCTGACTGTACATGATGTTATTAGCACAAACACTTCAAATGTGATCATTTAGGACTCCAGCAATAATACAGACAGCAATGTAGTTAGCAATAGAACAGTTTTATTGGGAATTAACTTAAAAAACAAACAAACAAACATATGTCTCCTATTTTTTGTCACACAGGAAAGAAGCATCAGTATCTGATGAGAAGACGCATTTATTTAGTTTTTTTTTTCAACAGGAGAAGAAAATCTCTAACAGTTGATTTGTTCACATTTTCACATCTTAATTTTTAAGTGGAATGTGCATTTCGAGTTTATACACTGTGTATATAAGAGGACCGTTTCCTTTTGCAGTATTTTTGTGTGGTGCATTTTTAACAAAAGGGGAACAAAGGAACAAAGTTCACCTAGGATGATTTGTTTAAATACTGAGGTGATGCAAATTGAAACATGCATTTTAACGGGGGGGCTGGAAAAGCTTGAAAAGGGACGTTGAAAGTGCTGAACGTGCTTGAATTTGATCCTGAAAAAGGCATATGAACCCTGACAGTCTGATGCATAATGGCATCAGCTGTCCTCTCTTTAACAAAAAGCGAGCCGGCTGGTGAAAAAATACAAAAGCAAATGGCAAAGGCACACAAAGCTGAAAACTAAACTATTACCTATACTGGGTGAACTAGGACTAGACTTGAGAAACATGAACATGATGAGACTTGAGAATTCCAGTGACATGACACAAATAAAAACAGATAAACAAAGGGAGACAGAAGATTGAAATACACAGAGGGATAATGGGGGAAGTGGAAACAGCCGATACAAATAAACACGATGACACAAGGGAAGCAAAACGAAACACACTGGACATGGAACACAAGAATGTCAAAATAAAAGAGAGGCGTAGACTGGGAAACGTGAGCTTGACACAAGTGTTGAGTGCAGAGTGCAGAAAAAAACTCAAACGAAGCTGCAGCATGTGTAGGTTTTGATTTTCAGTTTTACAGAACTGACATGTGAAACCAGTTCCTTATTGAAGTGCTGAAACTTCTGCTTATTCAGATTTTTCATGAACACAAGAAAATGAAAACAGAACATGAAAAGTTGCAGGGTGTTGTTTCTTTGTCATCACTGAACTGTGAAAATGACCCACAGAAAGGCTCCATGTGTGTATGTCGACGCTGAAGTAATGTCATTTTACAACATTTTAAATTTTCTTCACCTCACTATAGACTTCCTCCTGGACATGAGGACTCTGTGTTAAGTTGTTTTCTGGCTTGCTGATTTGCACCTGTGCGTACTCTGTGTCCTGCTCCTGTCCTCTGTCCTGCACTGAGTCAGAGGATGCTTGATGCTTGGAAATGTTAATCTCACTATAATGGATGTTTTCTTCAACTTCCTCTGTTTTACTTCCTGGTTCTTCAACAACCTGCTTTTCATTTATTTGAATCTATGGAATTAAAATAATAGAATACTCCTTAAGCTGACTCTGTTATTTTTTTGTTACATTAAATGATCAGACTGCTCTGACAAAGATGCTACTGTAAATAATCACTAGAACAGTCAGTTATCCTGCAGATAGATTTTTGTTTTGTTTTGTTTTAATTCCCTTACCTGAGTCTGTTCTTGTCTTTGATGCTTTGATTTTAACCAGCTGGAAGACACAAGAGGCTGTTAAATTAACTTTACTAAATATAATTGTGAATAAAGTTAATCTATTGGAAAACAGATATTTTAATTTGCAGCTAAAATATCTTTGACACTAACAGTATGTGTTTTCTACTTTCATGTGTGATACTTACCAAACAAAGATTATCAAGCAGAGTAAGATTAAGAGTAAAATGATCCCAATAATTACGCCAATATGTTGCCACAGTTTGTCTGTTGAAGCACAATCTACAGAAATCATGAAGTAACAAAAAAAAGGATTTTATGTTGACATATTGATTCAGGCTGGGCTTCGTTACTACTTGAAGTAGTTTTTTTTAAATGAAAGATATAATAGATACAAAAAAGTTTTTAAAAAATGATGGGAGCACATACTTTCCTCTTTAGGCAATGGGCCTTTAACAGTCATGTTAATCTCTGCTGATGTCTGATTACCCAGATCATTAGTGGCCACACAGTAATAAACTCCTCCATCTGTTACATTGAAGCTGTAAATCTCTCCTTCAGATACTTTCACAGCTCCATCTCTGCTCTTCTTGAACCAGGTGAAGTTGCTGACTGGAGGTTTGGCTCTGCTGCAGCAGGTCAGCTTCACCCAGCTGCCTGCTGACACCAAACCTGATGGACTGATGGATGCTGAGGTGTCTTTAGGAGCATCTGGAGAAATAAAAGAGAGAAAGTGATATCCCATATACCATGGTGTCCTGAAGGATTCAGTACAAACTCTGATTGTCTTACATGAAACATTGAGAGTCTCTTCTGTCTCTGCTGTCTTGGTGTCTTTTCCTTGGTTCACAGGATATCTGGCAGAGCAGTTGATCTTCGTTCCATCATGTGTGTCTGACAGAGTGATGTTCTGCTGGATTTTAGTTGTAAAGCTTCCATCTGTGTTTTGCTCCATTTTGTTGTGAGAGTCTTGTTGGAGATTCCAGGTGAGTTGAGGAGGGGAGTGTGGACAGGGAGTGAGAGCTGAGCAGGTTATAGTGACAGACTCCTTCTCCTTCAGATCACCTGGGATTGTAATATTGGGCCTCCAAGGAGAATCTGTGGTTTCACATTAAACACAGTTTGTAAACTAATAATACCGTCAAGAAACAGATGAAGATCAGCCACAACAATGGATTAAAAACCAAAGTGAGGTATTGTCCTCCTTCCTGAAATCCTGCATATTTGTCTCACTTAAAGGTTTCGGATTAAAACTCAGTTTAATATTAGACAAAGATAACCTGAGTAAAAGATGGTGGTGGTTGTGTTATGGTCTGTGACTCAAAAAAATAAAAATAAAAAAAAACCTGAAGGTGACGTTTACCACGTGAAATCCAAAATAAATGTAATGCTTTGATTTTAAACAAGTTGTTCATGCTTGGAAAATGTAGCTGAATAAAATTATTAGGCAAAGAAGAGGGAACCAAAATTCTTCAATAGCACTGTGAATGACTCATTACCAGCTATCAAAACACTTGCAGTTCTTGCTGCCAAGACATTTAAGTACTAACACAGGGGATTGGATAACATTTTTCCTTAAAAATAAAATCCCCATTCAAAACTGCAATTTTTATTCAGTCAGATTGTCTTTGTCTTATCAAAAAAAACATGCAGAAGTGACAAATATGCAAATGCCTTTTTAGTTTTTAATCACTAACAGACAGGATTCTTCCTTTTGTGTCCCCTGTAAGTGCAGGAAAGGTTGGGGAAGGGATGTAGAGAGAGACTTGTGTCAAGACGTTAGTTTGTTGAACAGTAACTTGTGAAATTTCCATGGAAACTAGACTATTTATGTCACGGTACTAGGTCATGTGACCCAGTATGTATGTTGTTAATGTGTCATTTTGTATTAATTTGTGTTCTAGTTTCAGTTTAGCTCATCCAGTCAATTTCTAGGTTGCCATTAGTCCTTTGTTTCTTAATTTCTTTGTGTCATCTTTCCCTATGTTAAAACTCCCCTTGTTGTTTATTGTTTGTTATTGGTCATGTTTCTTGCCTTTCTGGTTAATGTTGTCAAGTTTGTGTCATGCCTGCGTCTTGTCATGTTTTCCTGTTTATTGTGAAAGTCCAGTTTCCATGTCTTTGTGTTTTTGGTTTACATTTCCTGTGCATCATTATGTTCATCCTAGTCAGCTGTTTCCTCATGTGTCTCCACTCCCCCTAATCACATTATGTGTATATTTAAGTCCTTTGTCTCTTAATGTTTTTTGTCAGGTCGTCTGTTATCTTTGCCACAGGTTTTACAGTTTTACCCTCATTGTTTCAGCGTGTTTCATAGCATCCCTAGTTACTCTGTATTCATAGTATTTCATAATCTTTTCACAGAGTGTCATTGTCTTTTAGTTTATACAGTGTTCATAGTCCCCTTAGTTTTCCCAGTTTCAGTGTGTCTCTAGAGTTGTTCTCATGCCATCAGCCACAATAAAGGCTCGCTTTATTTTTGGAAACTTAGTTCTGTCTTCATCGTGTCTGCTTTTGGATCTACCTCATCTACACACCGGCACACCCTGCCGTGACAATTTAAACATAACAAAAAATCATAAATATGCTTTTAAACAGTGACTTTTTCTTTGTATGCAGGATTTCTTCTCTTTTATTTTTTATTTTCTGTTTTTTCTGTCTTTACTACAGTTTTTTTTTTTTTTTTTCTGATTCCCAATTTTACTGCTCACAATAAAGACCCTAGAAGACTAATTATTGTCCTGAGCCGTCTTAATTTTCCGAGTTTCCAGCTAAACACAAAACACTTAAATGTGCTTATTTCTGTTACATTTGTTCATAATTTCTTTTTTAGTTGCTTTGAATAAAAGCTGCAGCTGATTATACTTTGTTTATAGAAATTAGAGGAAACTTTCTTACCTTTAATTGTTATTTGAAGAGGATCACAAACAGCTGTTGCCTTGAACGGCGAGGTCATAATTCTGAAGTAGTATGTGTTTGTATAATTTGTGATTAAATTGGAAAACAGAGTGGTGCAGTTTCTCTGTGTCAGGTTTCCTGTAATATTCATTGGATAGATGTTAACTGTCTTACTGCTGTTGAAGATCACATTTTCTGGATAAAGTTTAAAATTAGTATGATTTTTAATCCACACTGCAAGCACAGGTCTTGTGCTGTTAAACTTTACTGGTCCAGCATCACTAAAGTTACATGGGATTTGTAAACAAGATCCACTCAGAGCTTCCATCTCTGCTGGTGCAGTGATGAACAGGTTTGTAGAATTAGGACAAGCAGCCACAGTGCCTGAAAAACAGAATATCATGAAAATATAGAAATGTAGATAAAGAGAAAATCCATGATGAACAATTTGACTTTAAGAGTCGTGGGTTTGCTTTTTATCCCTTGTTCTTTTGACATCCTCAGATACTTGACTTTGTAAAGTATCTGTCTGCACTGATCTGTCAGACTGTAAATGACTGAAATGAGATGGCTCACTTGGAATAAAGAGGAAACTCAGTAACATGATGTCTGTCATAAAACCCATCACCTGGAAAAACATGAAGAAAAGAATCATTACACAAATAAGACACAAAAACAGGAACTTGCCTCATTTTGTAAAGCACTTACAAAACAAAAACTAAAAAAAATCAAATAAAGCCTTTTTTTTTCATTGCAATGCACAAAATTAATAAACTGTATAAATGTTTTCTTACCAAATGATCAGTCTGCTACACAGGAGAGACGACAACATAAAAGTCAGTGTGTGATTTTAGCAGTGTGAGTGAAACACTTCTCTGTTTAGATGTTGTAATGTCAAAGCAAACAGACCTGTGATAATTTTGGTTTTCTGTTGTTCTTTAATCAGTCAGTCTGCTTTTTGTTCCCATCATGCACTCTGTTGACACTTCAGATGCTGCCACTCCCACCTGCCTCTAGATTCGCCTGACACTCCACTCACATGCAAACATATTCCTCATTCTCTCAGTAGTTCCCTTCCATGTACGCCTCCCTTGGCTTTGTCTGTTCTGCGTTTTTTGAGACTGACTTTAGTGTCCGTGTGTTTGTTTTATTTTATTTGCTATATAAGGAAATTTCATTTTTATTTGTATCTAAAAATATTTTAGATTTATTGGGGGGTTCTTACAGCAACAGAATAATTGCCAAAGTGCTATTACCCAAAAACATAGTATCTACATGGTGTACACTGTATTTTCCACACAAAAAAATAAAGAAAGAAAAATAGAGGACAAAAGTGGCATGCCTTAAAAAAAATCTGCAGCACTTTCACAAAAGATTGCCAAATTAATGTCCATGTGGCAGGGGTGTGGTCTCTGGCCTGCTGCTGCTGAGCTTATGGGGCAGTGCTGGGATGTCAAAGTGGACAGGTGATTTTGATGGGATTAGTGACTCTCTTCCCTTTTTATAGTGACAGAGGAGACTGGCAAGAGGTGAGTGTATAAGTATAACAATCAAATCATTTTCATTCTACTTATGTTGTGTAAATATCGACACCAAGTTCTTTTAATTCCTCAGAGGCATCCGATGGAAGACAAAACACTGCTCAGTTGACCATTTAACTCTTTATTTCTCTTTCATATTACTTCTAGACGGGAGATGCGTCCTGCATGACAAACTGCCACGGATCTCAAAATGTTGGTGTGCCCCTAAAAGTTTTATTACAGAAGCTCTCTCATTCTAGTCTAAAAAACAGTGTCCCATTAACTTTCCACTAGAGATGGTCCCCTCTTATCTGCATTTTCCCAGGCAAGCATGAGTGAGAGTCTGCAGCTTTGTACTCACGAGGACACATGTTCACAAGCCTTTTTTTTCAGGGCTGTGTACTTAATACTACACTATATAACTATATAACACTTATTAATAAAAAAGCATAGCATTATCGAGGCACTGCAAATTATTTAATCCCAATAGTTGCTAACCTACTCTGAGCTAATACTGATTTTATTCTGATCCTTTGGAGGAGAAAGTTTGGAGAACAAAGCAAACCAAATCCAAAGATGCACGTATCACTGTGTCCCGAGTTGATGATGATCACCCAATAAGAAAGCAGCATCCCCTGGGCATTCAGTGGAAAAATGATGCAAAACAAAATCCTTCTAAATTAATCATCTAACTCAGCAAGAATTGAGAGGATAAAGCAAAAAATATACTAAACAAAATTGCAAGTTCACGGTTTGAACAGCGGTTGATCCCTCTGGTTTCTCTGCTGGAATTTTTAGCTGTGAATGTGTGAACAAGCAGCTTTCTTTCAGATTAAGCTCTGGAGCCGGGGAGCATGTTGGTCCAACAAATCATAAAAGTGGTTCTTCAGGTAAAGGTGTGTAATCCTGTGGAATTATGCACAGATGTGAACACACAGGATAAATTTACATTTACAAGTTTCAATTAATCTACAAATCTTTGCAAAATACATCAAAATCCTTACACTACAAAGGAATAACTTGTTCAGACAGGCCAGATAACAGAAGTCAATATAAAATACATCTTGTTAGATACATCTATATACATTCTTACCTGAGACTCCAATTTCAGAGTAAGCTAGCGATCCAGGATCTGACCCACTGGTAGGTCATCACTGATAATCTCTTTGATTCACAAGGCCAAAGTGGTGTGCATCAGCTTTGTAATCAGAACAGGATTCTTTTTACTTTTCTTGACTTCATCTATAATCTGTAGTCTTAGCTGATCAAGGCGAACAGCAACTTCACCCCAGAAAATTTACTTCTGCCCTGGCATGGACATAACAGTAAAACACAGAAGACAAGACAGACTAACCAGAGAACCTAAAAGACACATGACCAGATAGACGTAGATGAAATATAAGTGTGAAGTAGTGCAGCAGTGCAGCAGTGCAGCAGTGCACATTGATTCAACAATTTATCCACAAGGCAGTTTATAATCTGCAAATCCAGAAACGCCTTCTAAAGACTCTTAAAATAGTAAGAGATTAGAAAAGTAAGAGCAGCACCTCTGCTGGGACTAATAATGTGTTATACTAAATGTCTTGATGCATTCTCAATCATCCAGGTAAATAAATTTCCAAAACACCAAAAGTTGATTCTGTTCATGGAAAATGAGTATAACAGAAGCAGCTGACTCACAAAAGCTGCAGCTGATTTTTCTTTATTCTTTTTAGAATGAGAGGAAACTTTCTTACCTTTAATTGTTATTTGAAGAGGATCACAAACAGCTGTACATCTGTAGGGCAAGTTCACGATTCTGAAGTAGTATGTGTTTGTATAATCTGTGGTTAAAGTGGAAAACAGAGTGGTGCAGTTTTTTTTTGTCAAATCTCCTGTAATGTTCATTGGATAGATGTAAACTGTCCCACTGCTGTTGAAGATCACATTGTTTGGATTATTGCCAAATTCATAATTATTTTTAATCCACGCTCCAAACACAGGTCTTGTGCTGTCAAACTTTGGCTGCTTGTCCTGATCCTACAAACCTCTTCATCACTGCACCAACAGAGATGGAAGCTCTGAGTGGATCTTGTTTACAAATCCCATGCAACTTTAGTGCTGCTGGACCAGTAAAGGGCCTGAAAAACAGAATATCATTAAAATATAGAAATGTAGATAAAGAGAAAATTCATGATGAACAATTTGACTTTAAGAGTCGTGGGTTTGCTTTTTATCTCTTGTTCTGTCAACATCTTCAGTATAAAATGTGTGACTTTGTAAAGTATCTCTTTCTGCTCTGATCTGTCAGACAGTAAATGACTGAAACTAGATGGCTCACTTGGAATAATGAGGAGACTCAGTAACGTGATGTCTGTCATAAAACCCATCACCTGGAAAAACATGAAGAAAGAAATAATTACACAAATAAGAAACAAAAACAGGAATTTGCCTCATTTTGTAAAGTACTTAAAAAAGAAAAAACAAGAAAAAAACACCATTAACTAAAGCCTTTTTTCGTTACCAGGCACAAAATTTGTAACCTGTATGAATGTTTTCTTACCAAATGATCAGACACAGAGGAGAGACGACAAAGTAAAAGTCACTGTGTGATTTCTGCAGAGACAGCGAGTGAAACACTCTGTTTGGATGTTGTAATGTCAAAGCAAACAGACCTGTGATTGGATTTCTGTCTTTCTTTTTTCAGTCAGTCTGCTTTTTATGTTCCCATCATGCACTCTGCTGTCATTTTAGAAAGCTGCAACTCCCACCTGCCTCTAGATTCATCTGTTCTGAACCCTCCACTCACATGCAAACATATTCCTCAATCTCTCAGTAGTTCCCTTGAACATGAAGCAGTTTATGTACTCTCCTTTGGCATTGTCTGTTCTGCTTTGTTCTTATCAGTTCTGATATGTGTTTTCTGAGACCAGTGGCTATTTTGAGCTTTCGGTCCATGTTTGTGTGTGTGTGTGTGTGTGTGTGTGTGTGTGTTTTTTAATATAGAAGTTAGGACTCTGCATTTTTATTTTTATTTTAAGGTACGGTTTTTTGTTTTGTTTTGTTTTACAAAATAATTGCAATAGAGCCAATTACCCAAAAACATAGTATCAATTCAGTGTATGCCCCCCCCCCTTCCCCCAAAAAAGAAAACAGAGGACAAAGTGGCACTTCAAAAAAAGAATCTGTAACAGAGGGGAAAAAATTCTCCCTTTACGAGTTCACGATTTTTGATGGGACTAATGACTCTCTCCCCTTCTTATTGTTATGCAGGAGACTGGCGAGAGGTGTGTGTAGTGGAGAGTGCTTGTTGTATAAAAATAAATCTTAAAGCCACTGTGTGGGTCCAGTCATTTCACAGTTTGCAGGTAGAAATTGTATTGATGCACTTTAGCAGGACCAACGCAAATTATAACTACCAAATAATTTTAATTCTACTTACTAACCTACTCTGAGCTAATAGTGATTTTATTCTGATCCTTTGGAGGCGAAAGGTTGGAGAGGACAAAGCAATCACCCAACAGGAAACAACATCCCCTGGGCACTCAGTGGAAGTATGATGCAAATCAAAATCTTTCAAAATTAATCATCTAACGTGGCAAGAATTGAGATGAAAAAGCCAAAAATATACAAAACAATGTTCACAGTTTGAACAGTGGTTGATCTCTTTGGTTTCTCTGCTGGAATTTTTAGCTTTGAATGTCTGAAATCGAATCTTCAGAATTTCTCACTGAAGATCTCACAGAAGACAAAAAGGAAGAACCCCATATGCATTCTTCATGTTCATTTTATACTTATACACCCTTCCTTCGCCCTCTCTTACTGGAAGCCAGATGTCATTTACTGCGATGACAAATGGACTCATCCATGGTGACATCCAGTCACTTTGTAACTGCTGTTACTAACACTAGGCATGTAGAAGTGTGGGGAAGCAGTGGAAAGTGTAATTAACATGGCAAGGAAATAGTTGGCGGACATCATTAGAAAGTGAGCAATTCAAATAGGTCTATTTGTGTTGGCTTTCATCTTTTCTTGGTGCTGTCGGCTCCATCTTCATACCTAAATACTAAAAAGATGTTGTGTGAATAGAGATCTGTGTTGTTGTGTAGGACTGTACCCTATGAGTTTA